GAAGCAACACAATTGAGAAATATGAACAAGACAACAAATTTGGCCATATCAGGTCACATACATCTTTGGCCAAAGACAAACAAAAGAAAAAAAGAACACAGAACATCAAGAACAATCAAGACATACCCTATTATGACTGATGCTTGTACATAACTCTCCACTGCAGGGTCAATAAATGACTTCAAATGCAATTTATCCTCAACAAGATATCCAGAACTTGAGGTATTAACTGTGTCATATTCAATAATGTACGGGCAGGGATCATTTGGTTCTTTGCAGTATAAATTTGACTCACATAACCCATGGCTGCAGGACAGGTTTTTGCTACTCTTTGACAAAGATGGGGTATACTCACTAAGATCTTTATCCTGCACAATAGATGCCCCAGGTATGTGGGAGCACCTGCCAATCAATCATTGGAATTAAAATGCTTAACCGGTAACCAACTACCAGTTCTTAGCGTAATTAGTCCACTGTCAAGGAGGCAATCAGGTTAAGTCTTGTTGAAGTGTGGTCAGAAAGAAATAGTACTATCTTCCATTTAAAGTTTGCTTGCGCAAATTCAGTTTCAAATTTATTAAACGCAAATCGCTTCATCTTTAAGGAAAATGCCTATCCAACCTTATATAATCAGTGCTTTTAATCACAGTGAAGACTGAAGATAGAAGTCATTCTAACAAGAAAAATAACCATATCTGCTTTTATAATTGAAGCTATCTATGCCCCTCATTATTAAACCTAGGACATAACACTTCACAATATAAATACCCAAATAGAGGCAACTAGAAATCCCATGCAAAGCAGTTGAAAAGCTGGACAAATAGAAACCATTAGTAAATGAACATATACTAGACTAAACAGTGACAATTGAAACAGATAAATAAAAAGTAAAAATGGAGTAAATAAGAAGAGAAAAAAGTAGTGGGAAAAATGGGAGCACGCTGTTTAGGTTACCAGTGAATTATAGTAACTGGCAGATAAAGGAGCACATTGTATGCAATCACACGGGACCCAGAGCAAATCGCTGCCCGCATCCAATGCTACCAGGAATGAAACATTCGGTGTACCTATATCTATCCATGTGTAATGTAACCTGGAAATATTTTTTCCAATAAAAAAATGAATTATAGTAAACAATTCCCATCAACAGTATTACTACTATAATTTGCAAAAATATACCAATATTTTGTTTTCCAAAACTATACATATTAAAAATAATAATAATAACAAAGGTTGAATATTCTTCTGCTTTTTAGCGGCTGATTTCAATTTCTTTCTAACAAGAAAAAAAACAACTATGAATGAGTTTAAAAGAAAAAGAATGCAGAATAAACGGAAAATAAATTCAAATTTCAAAAAATAAGGAAAGTCGAAAATGGCTGACCAGTCGAACTCGTTTCCGAAGAAGAGGGTTTGGCTTCCTTGAGAAGGAAACAGTAACTGATTCGTGGAGCCGACTTTCATCCGCTGCCTCTTCCAATCGTTCCCTACAAGTAACTCCAAGTACTCTAAGCTATTCCTCTTTGGCCACGAAACAACACCACTACCGGCACTGCCATTCCGAGCTGTCCAAATCTCCTTCGCCTCGTCTGAAAACCTGTGAATCAATTTCGACGAAAATGTGGCCGCCGACGACAAATTTCCAAGTAAAAGCCAAACGGTTAGGGCCAAAACCACCGCGCATTTCTCCATACGACACTGTTTTCTAAGTTAGCAGCCTTGCCTTGAAGTTGAGAGAGCTCTTTTAAGCATTGCAAAATCAAGCGGCCACTAGCCAGAGGGGTGCGTAGTGCGCATAGGCTAGGAGAAGTCTAGTGTGTGCGGTGTCGTTTTGGGGTGGCGCATTCACGTGAAAGGCAAAAGCCAAAAGAGGCTGTTTTAGAAGGGGAGGGATGATTATAGAATTTGAAAAAGGGAAATTTGAATTCTTTGGATACGAGGATAAGCCAAAGGAAGATAGACATGTAACGTGGGGCCAGGTTGAATACGTGTCGGAAACAGGGTCGGTGATAGCACGTGGGGTTCTTTTAGTGGTGAAGCTTTTTAAAAATTGACGCGACTACGACTTACCAACCTCCACCAGTTTCGTTTTGATTTCGGTGCTTGTTTTTCTTCGTTTATTTTGATTACAATATCTATCACTTCTTTTTAAAAAAATTATTTTGATAAACACGTCCTTGAGCCGTTTCAACTATAACGGTAAACGAATCGAATATTCAATGTACGATTCATGAATCGTTTGACGAAAATTCTTTTATTTATTAAAAGAATGGATATAAATAATATTTTATATTCGTTTATTAAATGAACAAACACGAATATATGACTCTTTCGTTTATTTAAATTAGAAAACGTTCAATAATTCGTTCGTTTATGTTCATTTTATCATTTATATTCGTTCGTTTATGTTATTTTTTTTATATTCGTTCATATTCTCTAGACTCGTTTAAAATATAAAGACTTAATAAATTTTAACCTTAAACACATTAATATTTTTAGAGTCAATTAATTTTAAACTCAAATAAAAAAAATATCCAAAAGAAAATGTAAATCCTAATATTATTTGAAAAGAAGCAAAAAAATTCTTCTTAAATATAAACTCAATTAATTTATGTTTGTTCGTTTGTTCATTTGTGTTCGTTTAACATTTAAACGAACGAACACGAACAATAAATTTCGTTCGTTTAGTTGTTTGTTTTCGTTCCTTTGTTCGGTTGAAGTTAAACGAATAAACATAAACATACTCTCGTTCGTGTTCATCCGATTCGTTTATGAGCCTAGTTTCAACGGGCGGAGATTTTGGTTCAATATTAAAGATGGCATGTATGATAAAATTATATTCAATTAAAAATTAGCTGAATTTTGATTATGTATACATTATTTTTTGTTGGATTGGTGTATATTTACTTTTACTTCATTTTCTTTATATTTTTAAATAAATAAATAAACACTTGCCTAAGAATCGAACTCATATTATATATTGTTAAGCACACAATCTGTTATCATTGTTGGATAAAGTTTATATATATAAACTTACACAAATATGTAGGTGCCTTCATCTAGTTGAAGAGGAAGGATAGAAAAGACAAAATTGATCGAAATATTAAAGAGGGTCCTCGATCAACCCAGATTTGTTTATGTTTATTGGATACAGTGATAATGAACTAGCGGAGTGTAAATGTAAAGTATCGTTTTCAACTCACTATTGCCCTTTAGTCCGAAACGGCATAGGAAAGTTATTTTAGTTGGGCTCGGTTTTCTCTGGATCGTGAAATCTCTTCGGCTTTTTAATATAACTTTTAGGGTAATTACGTATTTAATATTTAAATTATTATTATTTTTATCTATTTTAATATCTAAATTTTTAATTTTTTTAAAATCATATTTAATATTTAGTTTTTATTTCGTTTTAGTACATCGCCGTTAAAAACTTAACAGATGATTTGCATGTTGCACCTTTTTATGGGTAAAATTATATCGTTCATCACTCAACTATCTTCTCACTCCTATTTTGGTCACTAAAGTTTAATTTTTTTAATTTAGCTACTTAACTTTCAAATTACTCTTAATGTAATCACTCTAACTTTCAATTTGATTTTTTATTTTTAATTATATATTAACAAAATAATAATAATAATAATAAAATGTCATGTCACAAAAATTATAAATAAAATAAATTAGAATGATTAAAATAGGAGCAATGTGAAAATCAAGTATTTAAATTGAAAATTTTTAAACTCTAGTGCCAAAATAGGAGTGAGAAGATAGTTGAGTGATAAATGATGTAATTTACCCATAAAAACGCATTGCGTTAAGTTTTTAATGGTGAGGTACTAAAATGAAGCAAAAACTAAACGTTAAGTATGATTGAAAAATTGAAAAATTAAGTACTAAAATAGATCAAAACTAATAGTTTAAGTATTAAACGTGTTTACCTGACTTTTAATAGTGTGGGAGAAAAATAACTTGTTATATATAATATGAGATATAGTATCTTTTTCTCATTTTTGAATTCCTATCACACATCTCTCATTCTTTTCCTTTTTCATATTTGTTCTTATAAAATACTTTTTGTGCATTCCATCTATATTTTTATCTTTTTTTAATTTTTATACAAAGTTAAAATTTTTGGGACGATTCTTCAATTGATTTATTTTATTTGTAATGTTTGAGTTTGAATTATGAATATTATTTCAAAAATTAACATATCGTCTTGTTAAACCAATAAATCATTATTTTTTATTCCTTTAAATGTCGTGAAAAATATGGAACCAAAGTCCGACGTCCCAAATGCAGGGAGGGGAGGAGTGGGTTCATGGCACTTTTGCTTTATCCTTATCTTACAGAGGGAGATGAATTTTGTAATTAATAAATGGGAAAGGGTTGAGAAATCAGAAGCTTGTAATGTCATAGAACCTAATTCCAATTATGCAAAGTAAATAAAGATGCTAAATCCATCTAACACTCGTCACAAAACGCATATCCCCCCCCCCTGAATTGTTGCCTAAATCATGTATCAATTGTTGACCACCCCCCCCCCCAAAAAAAAACGTTATGTTGATCAGAAACAGAATAATTTGAGAGCTTCAAATTGGAACGTGAAATTTCTTAGTCCACTAGTGGTGGGTCCTGGTAAAGCCAATCAGGTAAGGCAGGCTTGCTCATAAATAACTGATATTTTTTCTAATGTTGCTGTCAGCAGGAGCCAGTTGAACAAATATAAATAAGTACTACCAATAACAATCTCTCCATTATTTGATTGAATAGTGAAATTTCTTGTTTTACAAATTTTTATACATTACAGAAGTTGCACTTCATATAAAATCCAAGATCTAAGTCAGATGATTTTGTATTCACCGCATGAATTAATATTGCATATATTTTCATTTGATGGAGTATAACCTAGTGGGGTTATCTTAAGGGTGAAAATGAAAGTTTAACAGCCTACATAAATATCAATAGATTTTTTTGTTAGATTTAGGTAAAAGAAAACCCACTTTAAAAAGTTCATATTGTGGGTGGTCTCCATCCTTGTTTCTTTCAACATCAAGTTGCAAAGGCTTCTGATCCTTCTTCTCCTCTCATCTGTTCATTCTACAATCTACATTTCTGAATTCTAATCAGTCCCAGGACTTAGGTAGATATCAAACCACTAAAAACATACTGTTCTTCTGCAAAAAAAATCATCTAGGATTTTGGTAGTTTCTTCTCAAACGTTTTTCCCTCCAGAAGAAGCAAGGTTTTTAACTTCTTCTGCACAGAGAAAAGAAGAGGTTTTTAACAGTTAATCTGATTGAGGATAAAGAAAAACAAAAACTGGGTTTTTTTTTTAGATTAGGGTGAGAGTTTGAGGTAAGAGATTTCACCTATGGCTGGAGAAGAATTGGTGGAGCTCAAATTCAGGCTTGCAGATGGAACTGACATTGGTCCAAGCAAGTACAGTCCAGCTACAACCGTGGCATCTCTCAAAGAGAAAATACTTGCTCAGTGGCCTCAAGGTTAATTACTCAACTTTTTATTTTCATTTTTCACCTGTTTATCAATTGTATGCAATGGATTTTGTACTTTTATCATGTAAAGTGTCCTTTTGTTATTCATTGTTTTGAAATTCAAAATGATCTGTGTCAAACAAAATCTTGTATTGTTCCTTATGCTTGCAAAATAGTTTTGTGAACTGAAAAATGTGTGATATTCTTGGATCCATGCCATAGGAACTCAAAGGCAAATGGTTAAAGCTCATGAGAAACATTTTACCTGTTAAGATGCTCCATTACTGTGATTTATATCTGAATTATGGTGTTGTTTTATGTTATAACATATAGCCTAGAAAACCCGAACCAGAAGGTATCTCTGTTTTCATATGCAAAACTCCTGTTTCGCAGACAAAGAAAATTGCCCAAACACAATACAAGAAGTGAAGCTAATTAATGGTGGAAAAATACTTGAAAACAACAGTACAGTTGCTGACTGCAGACTCCTGGTTGGTGAACTTCCGGGTGGTGTAATCACGATGCATGTCGTTCTTCGCCTTCCTTTGTCAAACAAAAGAAACGGTAATCCATGACACGTCTTTGATTGTTACACTCCTGCTGTTGCATTTGCAGAAACAGAAAACTTGTAATAAGACATAGGAATTTGGTTTTATATTTGAAGAAGAAAATGAACATTTGCATTAACATTTTCTCTACAAAAGGAATCGCTTCCAAAATTATCATTTCTCTCATTTGATCTTGTGCATGAATTTCATAAGATCCATACTTGTTTAGATATTACTCTATGTTTAGGTTAATTTTAACATGCTAATAATGTATTCTATTTCGACACATCCGTGCGTCTTAACTCGTGAAATTTTATCCGCAGAGAAACAAGAGGATGATTCTCCAAAGAAAAGCTGCTGTTTATGCACAATCTTGTAGCTGCCTAATGAGATTGCTGATGCCACTTCCTGTTATATTTGTTGTTGGAATTGCCAATTCAATGTTTCAGGATTCCAATTCTGGTGGCAGCAGAAATAATTAAAAACACCAAAAGGCAAAAAAAAAAAAGAGGGGCGGGGCGCAAGTGAAGTTGGGGATGAGAAAAGAGAACACAAGGCAAACCCTACCCTGGCAAGGCAATAAAGGGCAGATAGAGAGGTATGGTGCAAAAGAATGAAACAGAGATTTTTTGGGGGGTGATATTGTACTTGTTTTAAATAACATAGTGGCTTTTGCATTTTAAGTTTTAACAAAGTGTAGCAATCTTCGAAACATGACTCTGCATTGATCTGGTCAAAACCTTAACTCTGTTCGGTCCAATGATGTGGCAATTCCCCAAGACTCAAGCCATTACTTCAGAAAAGTCAGAAACCAACGTATTACTATATCCTTAATAAATGCTCCATATATCAGTAAGATTCATTAAATGTTCCCTCCATCGCCAAACATCTTATCTATCACTATCAATAGATATTTACTCTTGGACTTATGACTTTAGAAATAAAACCGTGTTATACTTCTCCTCAACAAATAATGGTTCCTCCTCCTTAAGGGGGCCTCTCTCTCCTTCTCCAGAATTCTGTTTTGAGTTGCAAGAGTAATCATCTTCTCATACTACTCTATTTGTGATTTTCCATCTACATTAAAAGTAAGCTCTCATTAACATTCACAACAATCATATTTTTTTTACTACATTAAACTTGACACAAAATTCAAACTGTATCTTATTTGCTAATTTATATATATATATTATATATATATATATATACATGGAACAAAAAAACTCGAGTACTCAAGTTTTTTTTCATTGATTAACTGTGGTTCGATCATAGCCCAGTGCAACATTTATAGCCAACTTAACTGACTAAAAAAAAACCCAACGTGTTCCTCAAGCAACTTTTGCGATCCCATTTTTGGTTCCTAGAGAGGTTTTTGTGCAGAACCATAAGAAGAAACCTTGGCGGAATGGGTTTTCTTAGACCCCAAGAAGGAAAACAACCAGGGGTGCAGGGGTTTCCATTTGATCAAACATCTTATCATCACTCTTATTAGGCTCCTGCTCTTCCATTTTCTTCATCTTCTGCTTATATAGAGAGCGCATCACGTAAGCTTCTGCGAGGCTGACTCCTAGACCAGACGTTGCCATTGAGAAACTGATTAAAAAGAGAAGTCGATTAGGATTAATATGAGATATATAGGTAGGCTTTGTTTGGAATCACACAATTGTTAGTAGGAATGGGATGAACGTTTTGGCCAAGTATGGGATGTAGCAAATTTATAGGCCATTGTGGGTTGGAGTCGAAGATGGGCGAAACTTCATTAGGGGTCCATAGTCGATAAGCCTTTCATTTTGACTTGCTCGCCAAGGAAATCCATAGGCTGGCGTTGTCGAATTTCTCCTTTTTGTGGTGTAATTTCTGAGAACGTGCCGAATCTAATTTAATTTAATTTTAATGTTGTGAGCATGTAATCTTTTATTGGAGTTGGAGTAAAGTATTTGAATTTTAAGAAATAATAATGATGATAAAAAGGGTTAATTACATAATATGTTTGTGTTTTGTCTACTTTGATCACTTTCGTTTTTTAATTTAATATGCGAATCCTGTACTAATTGCCGTTAACAAGGTGATGTGATATTTTAGTATAATCACACATTTTATTCATGTTATTTATATATTCTCAATTTAGTCATATTTTAATAAATTAAAATAAATTTAACATCAAATCGAACCTGAGTCTCTTAGAAACCAAGCATATACCCAACTATTGAACCAAGACCAATGCTTGGTCTAACATAGACATATAATGTATATATTTTGTATCTTAGTATATAAATATTTAACTTAAATTCATAATATTTATATATATTAACTTTAAGAAATATATTATATTAACGTATTAAATATATTTTATTATCAACTCAATTTAAAAATCTTTTATTTTAATTTAAAAATATATATATATTTTAATTTATTAAAATAAGACTAAATTGAGATAATATGTAAACAACATGGACCAAATGTGTGATTATACTAAAATATTTAACGGCAGTTAACTCGTTGTGACCACATCTTAATAAAAATAAAAAAAAAAAATATATATATATATATATATATTAAATCAGTGAGAAAAAATGAACAAAATATAAACAATTTTTTTGGAAGGAGCATTTTGTATGCATTTATAAGCCGAGACATACAAAACAAAACAAGTGATAAAGGACTCATTAAAAAATTTCCTTAATCCTAGACGGAGGAAAACGTACACTCTATCGATGTCGACAAACATGGACGAAATCATATACTCAAACTGACAAACACAAACAAAATCATCCCATAATTGCATAAACAAACAGTTATAATCAGAAAGCTACAATCAATCATACAAACATAAGTGATCAATCACAAAATGTAATTAACCCTAAAAATGATTGATTTACACCCAAAAAAAATAAAGATAGAAACAAAACATGCGTTTTTCGGCAAAAAGAAGTTGGAAATTCGTCACCATTGGTTGTTTTTAGCTCTAATTTTCAGCAGTTTCATGGCATGCCTTGGAGAGTTTGAACTATTCAAACTTTGGAGAAGTCCATTTCTAACTCCTCCAACCAGATTCCATTCTGTTTGTATGGTTGGTGAAAAAAAGAAGTATTTGAAATTTGGAATGTGTCATCAGTGACGTGGCATGTTTTTGTAATACCCATAATTTGTATATGTATCGAAATACAAATTAAAAATATCACATCAATCTTATAAACATTCATTGAATATAAATGTTAAATTTTTTTCTTTTTAAAACATTTTTATTTCAACTTTAAAACTATTTTCTTGTCACATAAAATTATAATAATATAGGTATTCTACTCATTCATAATACTGATAAAACTAGACTATATAAATAAAATAGTCCTATTCACTATTACATACCCTTTTAAAAACAAATTTGATAAAAAAAACTACTGATATAATATGCATGCCACTAAAAGTCAAAAGTAACATCATAGATGTCTTATTGATACTGATGATAGGTATGAGTCTTCAAAAGATGCTCATGAGACTCCTCACTGCACGTCCTATTCTTAATTTGAACCTACGCATGAAAATCATCATGCGCTAAGTATAACTTAATGAGACGGTAATAGATTAAGGTGAGATAAAACATAAAAATATCATAAATGCATTAAAACATTAGAAATAATTTAAATAAAAAGTTAAAATTTTCAAACCAACTTGTTCAAGCCAATTTCTTCCTCGTAACATGAAATTCAAATTATTTCATGATTTTATAAATAATCATGATAAACAACATCAGATAACATAATCATATCATTTTTTCCCTGTCAATTTAACATATTTATAACTTTCATATTTCATTTTATACCCAAAGTATATTTAAGAGAATATAAGGTACGCGAGTAAAACATAAGGTGTGCACTAGGAACATCACAGTGGGCATATCTGATCATAAGAAGCACTTCAAGTGCAAATCATAAGCAACATAAGCATCAACGGTGCAATACATAATGTACGAATGTATCATAACTTAACTTGGAAGTACTCTACTTAATGGCATGCCAATGTACCTACGACTCTCAGTGCAACATACAATGTGTTTTTAAATCATAATATAGTTACTTATTAATCAACGTATGGAAATCATAAACACTTAAAAATTCATCATTATAAAAATTGTACTTGGGCAGTTCATACTCTAAATTATTCGTAAAACTTGATGAAAACATTATGAAAATAATCCACAATTAAAATCATAAATCCTACTCTAAAATAATAGGAGTTGACTTATCACAAGTAGTCATCGATCATAATAATTAAATAAATAAAATGCAATCACCTTGTCTCACTACCGAACCTTTTATACGATACTCCTAATCACGTGATTTATCATTTCCTTTCAGGTCATTCAGGTCGCTAGATTTATCGTAGTCTACAACATAACATAATAACATAGCATATTCAAACTATATGTTAGTATCGAACTAACATAATCCAAACTTCAAAATATAAAAGTCTATAAAATAAAATTGATACTTAATTAATACAAAACTAAGTCATGCTTTCATAAAAAAATTAAACTTCCATATATATTTATTTCGAATTTAACCCCTTGATTTTTTCCAATTGCATAAACAAGCCACTAGTTATAAATTCTCTCTAGAATTCACCTCAACTTTTCCATCAAATTCATAATAGCCCTTCACTATTATGATCATTTCATATTAATTACTAAAATTTCCAGCACCTTAATAAAATACTCAAATCAGTACTTTGACATTCAAAAACTTACAACTTCATCCTAAACTTTCTTATACTTTTCAAATTCAACCACCCAATTTGGTAAACTTGCAATTCAACCCCAACTCAATATTTAAATTAAAAAAACCAGCATACTAATAAAATTCCCAGCATTGCAATAATTTACCCAAATGATACGTCTATATTTAATAAACTTGCAATTAAGTCCTAATACTTATAGGACCATTCAAATTCCACCCTTTAAATTTCCAAAATTTACAATTTGGTTCCAATCAACTTTCTAACTTAAAATTCCTGCATTATAATGTTAAAAATTAACATTGAACACCCCAAATATCATATTTTGCAATATATCTCACAATTCTCAAAACTTGTATGTTAGCCCTATTACTAACTCAAGGTTCCAAATTGATCTCCAAATCACAAAGAACGCTTTTAATATCATTTATAGAAATTCATTCCTTACTTATGAACCCTAACTTGCCAAATCAACTTCTACATCATCATTTACACATCACAGCCTCAAATTGCATCAAAATTCAATCTTACTTAGAACCCTAACTTGCCCAAATCAACTACAAGGCTTTACACATCACTTTAATAATCACATGCCTTAGAATAATCAACACCAAAAACATAAAACCTTTCATTAAATCTTCAAAATCCATAAACCCTTCATAAACCCTAATCACCAAATCTTAACATCCAAGCATGTTTAACACGAATATCTTATACCAAATGATAGAGAATTTCAAAAGGATTAATTATCTATCTAATAACTTAACCAAATAATCAAGTATATAGCTTCAAAAATCAAAAAGAAATTTTTTACTATTGGATATGGCGTATTCAGCCCCAAGCTTAAAAATGGCTGAAAATATAACTTTTAAAAAAATACATTTTTGGTCCTGAATCTTTTACAAGTTTATAATTT